GACCCCGGGGAGCCCGCCGCACTGGGAGGCCTCGATGGGCGTCGCGTGGTCGCGCCTCGCGCCGGGTGCAGGACGCGGTGGTAGACGAGCCGGCGCAGCGCGGCCAGAGGCGCGGCCGGAGGGGCCCCCGGGGAGCAGGGAACCCCGGGCCCCGCCCCCTGCGCCCTGCCGGCCTCCGCTTCCTCCTGGACCCCGGCTGGCCCAGCGGCATCGGGTCCCCAGGGCTGCGCAACTGGGTGCAAAGGGAGCCACCCCCGCCCTCGTCGCTTCCCCGGCACCCTTAAGTGTGGCCTTTGTCGTGGCCGAGGCGTGTGAGGCCACGGACCGCCAGGAAAATGTCTGCTCCTCCCGAAGGAGCTGCCGTTCTTGGCCCTTTGAAGGGAACTTGGCCGAGACTTAAGCAGGATCGAGGCTTTCGTTTTGCCTTTCCTGGGGTGGCGGAACCCCCACACCAGCAGGCTTAGAAGGGGCCCCAGGGGACCAGGGTGCCGGCCTGGGTCTGGCCAGCACTGCCCAGGAGCCACCCTCCTCTTAGCCCTGTAGCCCCAGGGCCCTGGGCAGACCTGTGTGGACAAGGACCGTTCACAAGTGGGATATCGGGAAGCCGGCTGGAGTGAGTCACTGCTTTTCCAGGCTGGGCCGCATGGCCTCTGCCCTTTGGCTGTGACCAAGTTTCCAAGGAGATGGGGGTATGCCCCCCTTCAGGGGTGATGGGGGGACTGCCGCTGACAAAGACGAGCCTTGAGGGGGCAGGGGACCCGCTCTCCCACTCAGTAGTAATAAGCCAGGCCTCGCAGGCGGACAGCCCAGGGAGGGGGCCCGGTCTGGCTCGCGGGGGTCCCCCGAAGCCAGCACCACCATCCTTAGGCACTCTGAGGGCTACGCAGCCCAAAGTCCCTGCCACCAGGGCCTGCCACACCACGCTGTCACAGATCCAGTCCCCGCCTCAGTCCTCACCTCTCCCCTCCCCTGGAGAGATGGGGGAAGGGCTGCCGAGGGCAGGGGAGTGTCTGCCTTTGGTTGAGAGCTGCAGGGGCCGCCCAGGCCTGCTGGCTCCTAGCGAGTTTGCACCTCATTGCAGGACGGCCAGCGTGGGCCTGGTGGACCACTGAGTCTTGTGGCTGCTCCTCCCCGGCTGTGGTTTCGGGGGAGCTCCGAGGGCCAGACCACAGGATGGGGGAGGACGGGGGGTGCTGGCTGTGGCAGGTGGCTTGGGCTGGAAGTGCAGGGACTTCCTGGGGCGGGAACTGGGGCAGCAACACTGATACCCGCCTCGGCCCACGTGAACGGGGTGGAGGGGGCTGGGTGGGAGGGGAGCCAGGCGGGCGAGTGTCAGTGTGTCTTTGTGGCCACATGCTCTGATTGAAACCTGACACTGTCACCTCCCAGGTAGGTCACCACCTTTGGGGCCTCAGTTTCCCCATCTGCGTAATGGGGCAGCATTAGTAGCCCCGTCATAGCCTCATTGTGAGGATTCGATGCGGGGCGGGGCAGAGAACGCCCCTAGTGCAGTGCTGAGTAAACATTTAGGGTGATCACCTGGACACTGGCGGGGATGGCCCTTGTAGCTGAGGGCTGCTCTCGTGGAGGGTGTGGCTGGTCACACTGACCTTTGTGCTGGCAGAGGGACGGCTGTAGGTGCCCTGGGAACCTGTGTCACTGGGCTGGGGGTGACCTGGCATGGCCACATCTGTGTTTTCACAGTTAAAGAGACAACTGTGTGACCGTGAATGGCTGTGCAGGGTCTGCGAGAGGTCATCCGGGACACTTACTCCCTGAGAGGCGGGGCGAAGGCGGGTCCTCTTGGTCCACGGTGGTTGGATCACAAGAACAATCTCAGCTGCCCTTGCTCGCTGGTCCTGCCCTGGGCCAGGCAGTCCGGGAGGAGTGCGTCACCCCAGTTTCATGAGGCAGCAGAAGCTCAGGAGGTTAGGTGACTGGTCCCAGGCCACACAGATAGTAAGTGGTGAAACTAAAACCCTAACGCAGGTGTCCCTTCCAGGACTGTGTAAATGAATTGTGATTTCGGTCCTGCCGACTCGCCGGCGGATGTTCCCGGCCTGCTCCTCGGGTGCTTCGTGGTGTGTGTCCGATTCCTTGGGCTGGATGGGTGGGCGGTGTGGGCCTGTTTCCCGTGGGAGTCTGGATACCGTGTCAGTAAGTCCTTTGTAGGGCCTTTCCATCTCCCCCGTCACAGTGTGCCTGGGACCCATCCTACTCCAAGGCCTCCACCATGTCACCTTTTTCCAGAATGCCACGCTGGCTTCTCATGGTGACATCCAGTTTCAGATGGTAGCATCTGGAGTGCCCCTCCTCTCTGAGTTGCTGTCGGCTGGGTTATTGGCCGTAAAGGAGCTCGACAGCAACACGCACTGATTGAGCACCTGCTGTGTACAGAGCCGGGCGCTGGGAGGTCTTCGCAGAGACATCCAAGTTGCCCCTTTGTCGTGCCCTCCTGGAACCGGCAGGGTGTGCTTTATTTTTTATTCAGAATGCCTGGAAGCCACCTTGGGTTTAATTAAACTAATTAGCTATGGCCACAATCTGCTGATCCTCATAAGCGATGGCGTGTGTCTGGAGTGGCTTCGGTTGTGCGGTCCTGATGCCAGCAGGCGACAGCCCTCGCGTCTGGCCTGCAGCTTGAACCTTCGGGGCACCCCCTCCCCCCAGGCATTGCTTGCGCCACCCTGGCAGGTGGCAGGGCTATGGCACAGAGGGCTTGGGAGCCTGGCCGCCGGGTTTGTCCTGCCCACACCCCAGCGCCCTGCTTCCGGGCCCTGCCCCTTGCCAGACGCCCCGGCCCGCCTGCCCGCTGCACGCCTTTTCTGTGGGTGTCCCTCGTGTGCAGTGCCTCTGCGAGACCTCCCGTGCTCTTGGCCTGTTCTTCCTGGAGGAGCTAGTCTAGAGGCCCCTGCTCTGGAAAGCATCCTGATTTCACTCTCTTCGGCATCCCTGAGTGTCCCCGAGCCCACGCCTGCACGTTGGTTACGTCGATACCACCTGGGAGCCATACTCTTGCTCACTGTCCAACCCAGGACCTGGATGGACTTCGAGTGAGGGGTGCCGGCGTCCGTGTGAGCGTGTCTGTCCCCTCTAGCCTGGCGTGAGCCCCTCCGAGTCTTCATCTCTGGGTCCCACAGAGCCTGGCGTCCCTTGGTCCCTTTGCTTCTTCATCGCTGTGTTCCTTCTCTCGAGGGGTTACTCCCGAGCCTCTGCACTGCCAGGCCGGCCGTGCTCGGCCAGGGGGGCCGGGGCCGGCCGGTCCAGTCCCGGTTCTCATGCCGCTTCCGGGAGAGCAGGGCCCCGCAGCGGGGGTTGCTGGGATGCCCGCCGATGGAAAAAGCGGCCCGCAGGTGTCCAGAGAGTTCCTGAGTGCCAGCAGGAGGCCACTTGGTCCCAGAGGCTGAGCTGCATGACACCAGGGCGGTGGAGAGCAGAGGGAGGAAGGCCCACGCGAGAGGAGCCAGGAAGCCTTCTCTCTGCCGCAGATTTCTTCCCCTCCCTCCCTCCTTCCTTCCTTCCTTCCTTCTTTCCTTCTTTCCTTCTTTCTTTCGAAACTGTCTTAGACTTAGGGAAAAGCTGTAAGTGCAGTACCTATAACTTGTCCTTCACTCTTTTGAGAGTCACTTGGGGACTTGGTGCCTTGCGCCCCGCGGGTGGCCTCTGATGAGGGTGTCCTCCTCCAGAACCACTGACCACGGCAGCAGTGGTGCTGCCCGGGGAGCCACTCCGGTCGCAGTGTGTGTCCTTGCAGCGGGAGGGTCAGCTCGAGGGCCCTGTGTGCTCGTCAGCCCCTTTCACTGTGAGCAGCGCCTCGGCCTTCCCTGGGGGATCTCGACGTTGCTGCCTCGTGTTGCCGCGGGTTACGTCTCCGCTCGAGCCCCGTCGCTAGAGCAGCCGCGAAGCTAATTCTCCTTGTGTCCTGCACTGCACGTGGCATGGCAACGCCTCGGCCTTCCCTGGGGGATCGCGACGTTGCCGCCTCGTGTTGCCGCGGGTTACGTGTCCGCTCGAGCCCCGTCTCCGCTCGAGCCCCGTCTCCGGTGCGTCTCTGCTCGAGCCCCGTCGCTAGAGCAGCCGCGATGCTAATTCTCCTTGTGTCCTGCACTGCACGTGGCATGTGGTCTGGATTCGTCCCGTTGCTGGGGCTGTGGTGGCCTTGGGGGGGTCTCCACCCTGAAGTCACTCCGTGCCCCCTCGTGTGTGGATCACGAGTGTTCTCCAGAAGACACTTGGAAACAGTATAAATATCTAGTCCTCCCCTCCCCCGCCTTTGCCTTTCCTTCCCCTCTCTCTCGGATTACGGTTTTCTGTTTTATTCTGAGAGTTGGCATCAGTTCCCGTCACGATTTATCTCGATGCTCGAGTTGTTTCGGGAGTGACCAGTGGGAACTGCTTCCCACCGGCTTCTGTGTGTCTTTTGACGTGTTCGTATCATGTTTTAGCAGCCTCCTCCCTTCTGCCACAGAAAGCTCCAGGCTCCTCTTTGCCCCAGCTCAGGACTCAGCCATTTCTCCAAAGAGCTCTGGTTCCGTAGGGGAGAGGGGTATTTAGAAGCCAAGATCTGGGTGCACGTGTGCACACTGCAG